TAATGGTAAACCTAAGAAACCTAGAAGGCCTAGTCTTCGGATAAATGATTCAGATAATACAACTGATTTGTCGCATCCAAACCAGCCTCTTTCCCAAAACAAATCATCTTCGGATATTCAATTGTTGAATCAAAATAATGCATCGAAAGAATTACCACATACATGGTCAAGGACAACAAGTACAGGAAATAAAGCATACTTTCAAATGATGTTTGAACAATCTCTGAATGGCAGACGAAATTTGCAACAAACTTCAGTCACAATCGAAAAAGCAGTTACTAATAATATTCTACCAGTTGACAACAGAAATAACTTTTTTCCAATGCCACGTATCAATTTCCAACAAACAGCCGAAAATGGTTCACTATTGAATCAATATATGGGGCAGAGTAATGTAACTAACGTTTGCTCAAACATAGCACCCGTAATATCGCAAAAGTCATTATTATAATAGACCGTATGCTAATAATAGTTACCGCCCTGTCTCGTACTTGAATAATCCAATGCAATCTCAGCAGATACCGTATTCTCGAGAACAAAGTAATTTGTTACAATGTAGTAATTTGGCTATGATACGGGCTCAAAATAATTGCAACAATATGAACAATTATAGACCATTTATGAACAGTTTCAATAATATGCACCAAGTTTCTTTTCAAAATTGTGCACCGGCGACTAGTGCTACAGCAGGGGTATCCACCAATAATCAAAATAGTATGTGCAATAACCTTTATCAAAGAAATCAGAATCTGGGTTGTCGTTTCGGTCAAGGTGTTCCAAATTACAATAACGTGCAAATGATTTCAAATCCTTTCCAAAACTTGCCGAATATAAGTTCTATAATTGAAAATAGTTCTGTACAAGACCCTACGCAAATGCAGTTTCAACCAGCTCCGGCCATGAACGATAGAATTGGAAATCCATCATTAAATTCTCAAACTTGCGGAGCACAAAATGCCTTCACTGGACACATTGATTCAACACAAAATTTCTTAATAAATCGCCCTGCAGAAAATAGTGTTGTTGGAACTAATTCATCGCATGTAAACACTGCGAATGGGTCCATGATGCAAAATAATCAATCTGAGCAAGATGCACCAATGAATATTACAAATGATCATCCAGAAGTAGCAAAAACGATGGATAAACCATGCCAATCAGTTCATATGGTAGGTGAAAAGCTGTGTTCCAAAGAAGGGCAAACAACTGAAATAGTCAGTTCTATTTATTATTCACTCCTTTCCAACAAAAATAGTAGATGCACCATGTCAAGAAAATCTCAAGAAGCAAGATCCTGCGCCTATGAATTCTCACCAGGATACTGAGGTAAGTCCATCAATTTTTTAATTATTTGGGAAAAATGTAATTGTTATTAATATTTGTTATTTTTTTGTAGAAAGCTTCATCTGATGGAGATGATATTATAGATGGGCCACGGATAATTTATTGTACTATGTGCGACATGATAGCTAAAATCCAATGCACTATATGTAAAGCAGCATGTTACTGCTCAATCGCATGTCAAGTAAGTTTTTTTTCTTTTCAATTCTAAAACTTCATTTTTTATCCTAACAATTCATCAATATTTCAATTTTCTTCAAGTGTTCCTGAAAATTCTTTGCATGGCTAATAGTAATTGATCCTTTTTTACCGCCGATTTACATGAAAACAATATTGATCTTAAACAAATGTTAAATAATAATTTATTCATTTTAGAAAAAACATTGGGCTTCTGGACATGCAGAGATTTGTGTAAAATTGACAAGAACTAGTCACAAAAAATGACAAGAAAAATTGTTTTTAAGTTTGTTAAAAAATGCGAATTGGTATTTATGAAATGGTATTTGGAGTTTTTTTATATATATTAAAGATTTATTAAATGAAATTTCAAAATTTGATTATATGTTAAAGTTTAAACAAATATGAAATATGTTTATGAAATGAAATAATTTATATTCATTTATTATTTAAATAATATGTAATCACACACACATATATATGAATAGGTATATATATATATATATATATATATATATATATATATTTGTATGATTCTGAATTTGATGTTGACATATGTATTAACAAAGTCTAATAATCGGGCATAACATCAATAAAAAACATGAATTTCTTTCAAAAATTTATTTTAAATCCATACGTTTCGGCTATAATCCTAGCCTTCATTCAGTGGAAACTAAAAATAAAATTAAAAACTAAAACAATTGAATTGGAGTGAAAAGAAAAAAATAAAATAGTAATTAGTACTTACAATTAGTTGATCTTAGTGTTAAATTGGAAAATTTAAACTAATTGTAAGTACTAATTACTATTTTATTTTTTTCTTTTCACTCCAATTCAATTGTTTTAGTTTTTAATTTTATTTTTAGTTTCCACTGAATGAAGGCTAGGATTATAGCCGAAACGTATGGATTTAAAATAAATTTTTGAAAGAAATTCATGTTTTTTATTGATGTTATGCCCGATTATTAGACTTTGTTAATAATATATATATATATATATATATATATATATATATATATATATATATATATATATCTTGATATTGTTTGTTTTGACTTTGAAACATTATGATACAGTTTTGCAGCCACAAGTCGAAAAATAAAACAAGAACGTAAATATAAATCTTTTTAGTACGTTTCGAGCCACACATTTACGTTAATTTTTATGTAAATAAAAGTGGTAAAAATTATTTTCCTTTCTTCCTTAAAAATTGATTAAAAATTTAATCTTTCAAAGACGAAAGTGATTTCTTTTACCATTGATTAAATTGTTATTCTTCGGAGGCAAAACCGATTTCTTTTACCTTTGATTATAATTTCAGTATTTCAAAGGGTACAAATTAATTCTTATCTTTGATTGGCATTCAAATATTTCAAAGGTAAAAAAATATTTCTTTTATCTTTGAGTAAAATTTTAATTTTTCAAAGGTAAAAAATAAATTCTTTTAACTTTGATTAGAGTTTTGATCTGCCAAAGGTAAAAAGTGAATTTATTTTAACCTTTATTAAAATTTAAATCTTCCAAAGATAAAAAATGTTTTTTTTAGCCCTGATTAGAATTTTAATCTTTTAGTGGTAAAAAATTAATGATTTTACCTTTGATTATAATTTTAATTTTTCTATGGTATAAAGAAATTTTTTTACCCTTTTTTAAGGGTAGATAAAAATGAATTTTTCTACTTTGCTTAGAATGTTAATTTTTCACCGGATTTTACCTTGATTAGATTTTTGAATTGATATTAAATTTTTCAAGTGTTTTTTTTTTTTAATTTTAAATGAATTAAAAAAATGTATATATATATATATATATATATATATATATATAAGAAAATAATCATAAGAGAATATTTAAATAAATTTAAGGCCTTTAATTCAGAAAAATAACGGATGCTTCTTTAGTCGAGAAAAATAAAATCATAATTAATATTACTTATACAGAAAAAATATTATCTATCTAAACTGTATTTTTAATATGTTTTTATATAGAACTATGTATTATTATAATGTTTTTTATATAGAACTATGTATTTAGCTTTAATTGGACAGTATTCATTTTAATTAATGATACTCAATATGAAATTGGAAGACTGACTTTCTGATCTACTTAATTTTGTTCTAATGTTTTTGTTAATAAAAATAATAAAATAATACATGTTTTATTAAACTATAAAGTAAAATTTATTTGATTTATTATTTCTTTTTCCACTTTTAGCAGCAGAACAGAAACTTATCATTTTGTTTTTTTGAACTGAAGTATTTTATTGGCCTTTGGGTGTATTTACCAATTATTGTAAAATGGGGTTGTATATTACTCAAAACATTTCCTTAGGAGCCTGAATCATTTTTATTTTTGGATGGTAGATGGTAGATTTTCGAGCATGTACAAGGCCTTACAGATTTTATCATAAGCTCCAACAATTGTCAGCCATCATGTGGATGTCCCATCTTCCTATATACCGCTCCCCCAAAGTTCTGATGTCTTGGTGGATACTCCTGTCCTGCTTTTCGCTAATATTTTACATTTAATTTAACATTTTCCAAAAACCGTTCTAAATAAGAGTGCGGGTGATGAATTCAAATCAATTACATCAAATATATCAGTTTTTAATTTTTCTTTTTTAATATTGTTTTCTGCATCTATTACTTGGTAAGCATGAGATGTTGATGTTCTAGATTGTTGATCATTAGCATGGATAGGGGTTGTGTAACGATCATAAGTAGACCTTATTCTATTGAGATTGTGGTTTTTACTTCTATTGCCTGAATTTATTTCATTGATATTTACCACACAGAAGAAACAATCGTTGTGGTGATTCTGAGGTTTTTTCTTAATGACGGAGGTTTTAAGTTAAATCATTTCTTTTTTCTTCTAGATAACTACAAATTTTTTTCACATAGTATGAAGAACAAAGTTTGAGTTCTAATAAACTATTTTTAAGACTATATTTTTTTCATTAATAATACATTATTTTTGGACGTATTTTCCAAGAAATTCGTATACTGTATGTCTTGCGGAATTTGTTTTATGAATTAAACACTATTTTAATTCAATTCAATTTATTTGCCGAATAATTGTAACGGAGTACGGAAATCACAATGATATCGATTTACTGATAAAAGGTACTATCGACCTGAACAGTTATAATCCCAAAATTTATCTATTGAAATTCTAGTTACTGCTGCTACTGATAATACTGCAGCAGCAGTGTTGACTAGTGTGAACAAAAATAATGGTATTACCATATACAATTCTTTCAAATTTTTAAAGCACAAATATTTTTATTTGAAATTTTGGCGCTTTAATTTGAATGGCGAGTGATTTATTGAAGCGCCATTGCAATGTAGCTTCCGTAGCAATAATTAATTCTTTGAACCAAAATAGGACCGATCTGTCAGTTAAAATTAACCTATTCAAGTTATATTAATATAAACAACAGAAAATTAATTAGACATAAGAAATATATATTTAAAATATATGAATTTGTGATATTTAATTTTATATAACTTTTTATCATATAACAAAATAATATATAATATAATCGGTATGTTATCTTTTGCAATAAAATTGCATACGTCACATATTATTATCTTTTCTAAGCTTGCATTTCATGCTTATCAAAACTGTTTTTGAATAATGCTGTGTAATTACTTTAGGTTTCATTAAACAACAATATGTTGAAAGGAGTTATATTAATAGGTGGTCCTCAAAAAGGTATGAACTATTATCATAAATATTTATAAAATTTTTAAATTTTGAATATCAACTACTATACATATAGTTTTTATTATATTCTTATTTGACACTCATGTTAATTGCATATATATATAGTATAACTTTGTTTCAATTATTAATTAGAATAGGATTTAACAAACAATAGTGTAATAGTTGTAGAAGTGTATTCTTGTAAACAATACAAAAAACACACATTTTGAAACTTTATCTAGTTTTTTTTTCCACTGAATGATAGTGTCGATGCAGACGAACATGTTTACCTTAGCATATTTCTTGATTATTTATTATTATTGATTTATTTTTCTAGGAACAAGGTTTAGACCCTTGTCTCTCGATGTTCCTAAACCACTCTTTCCAGTTGCCGGCTTACCAATAATACAACATCATGTTGAAGCTTGCGTTTGCATTCATAATTTAGAAGAAATTTAAATTGTTGTACCATTAGCGTAGAAATTAATAAATATACATTTAGTTCAGAATAGTTGAAACACTTAGCAATCTTTATAACATTGTTTATTCACAAAATAAAATTATAGAGTTGAAATTAATAATTCTTGTCAACGATGTGTATCTTATGGCGGTCCAAATCAGAGAGAGTTAGTCGGCTTCCTCTTTCCAATAACCTGGCGTCCTGGGTTGCCATAGCAGTCATGAGTGTCCTTCCCAAAGCCTCGTGTACAGGGTTGCCAGAGCAATGACATCTGTCCTTTCAAGCTTCAGGACCATAGATAAAAGAAGAGTATGTTCGGGACGGTGAACATAAATGTCAGATGGCACAACAAAATAATAGGATTCTATTCAGCCTCACAAATCAGCGAGTTTATATCAGACATGCAACATGAATATCAAATAAAAATAAGGTATATCTAGTTTTTTTTAGAATAACAAGTAGTTACATAAGTCAGATAATAGTCCAGTAAAACTATTTAATTTTATTTTACAGGTATCTACAAGAATTTACTGCTTTAGGAACTGCTGGTGGAATGTATCATTTTCGAGATTTAATTCGGGGAGGATCTCCAGAAGCTTTCTTTATTTTAAATGGTGATGTTTGTGCTGATTTTCCATTACAGAAATTACTTGAATTTCATAAGAAACAAAATAATGCATTAGCAACAATTATGGGAACTGAAGCTACCAAAGAGCAAGCAATTAATTACGGCTGTCTTGTAATGGATAAAGTAAGTAATGATACTTTGATAATTATATTATATTATATATGTATATATATATATATATATATATATATATATATTGATTGTTTCTTTTCCGAACAGTAAATCCAATAATAAAAAACAATTTGTTTTTTGAAGATGTTTAATACGACGTTTCGGAACTAGGTACGTTCCATCATCAGGTTTTTTCTGTCAAATACAATGCTTTTTTAAAAATATTGATTAACATTAATTAACGATGGTCAATACAGATTAATTAGAAAAAAATTTTATAAAGGAATGGATTATGTACCGGGGTAAAGAGTAATAAGAATTAACTAAAAAAGGTTTTATATAAAATTGAGAAGCAAAAATTATTTACCTGTAATAATTTATATATCCATATCACTAATATTTTTTTGTTAAAAACACTCGATTTTTTGGAAGATATTTGTAGATGTTACGACTACACAAGACTTAAACACACTGATATGGATTTCTGTCTGCCAGATGTAAAGGACAATGTATGGAGTTCTTGGCAAAAATGATTTTTTATGGCTCTTGTTTGGTAATTTACGAAAAAAGAGGAAATATTGCTTTAGTAAATGTTGAGAAATATTATGTATATATATATACATGCACATGTATATGCACACCCACATACTCATACATACATATGCACATATCTATATATTAATGTATCCACAATTATATACATGTACATGAGCATATATGCAAGTGCATGTATATAGTGTACACACAAAAACATACATATAAGTACATATATGGATGTACATATATTATAACATATATACATGTATATATATACATATTCAAAAATTATTAGGATTAATTGTTTTTAATCAGGTTTAAAAAATTTAGATATGAGTCATGAATGATATTGTGATCTGATCTTTTATTAACACTATTTGACGAATTCAAAAAGATTAAACTGCTTTCAGAAAAAAGTCTTTTAAAAGTACAATCCTCTCTATATAAAATATTGGGTTCAAAGGTGAAATTATGTGTATTGACCATCGTTAATTAATGTTAATCAATATTTTTAAAAAAACATTGTATTTGACAGAAAAACCTGATGATGGAACGTACCTAGTTCCGAAACGTCGTATTAAACATCTTCAAAAAACAAATTGTTTTTTATTATTGGATTTACTGTTCGGAAAAGAAACAATCAATATATTGAAAAAATCCAGGACTTATCTATTGATATATATATATATATATATATATATATATATATATATAAATATATATAAATATAAATATATACCAGTGAAAGATGAATACATTTACGGAGCACCGCAAAGGACAGGATGTGACTTCAGTTTAGAATCATTTTTTGATTGAAAAAGACGAACATAGAAAAATATATATTTTTTTACTGACACGTTTTTTGTTTCTATCTACTTCTACTCCTTACGTAATAAATAAATAATATGTACTCATTTCAGGACAATATTTGTTAGATTTCATATATTATTTGTTAATATGTCAATATAATAACTGAAGTAAGTAAAAATATAACTATTTAATTTTTTATCGACAATACCGGTATTAAAACCGGGATCCCGGAATTTCATTTTTCAAATATCGAATACCGGTATTCAGATTTTTGTACGGTATTGGAAGCCCTAATGGTAATAATATTTTTGAGAATGTAATTAAAAACTAGCAGAATCATGTTTAGTAAATATTAACATAATATAAAATAAATAATTATGCATTTTCTTAACATATATAAATAAGCATAATTGTATAAGAGTATTAACAGTCAAAAAGATATATGATAATATAAATAAATATGCATTTTCATAACATTGAATGTATAAGAGTATAAAGAGTCATAAGGTTATATTAATTGATATAAAATTAGAAATGGTAAAACTTTAGAAAAATAATATTCTTGTAGGATTCATTTTTAACTTTCCGACATCTCATTTTCAATGTCAATGTCTTCTTGGTGTTCCGCTTCATCTTTATTTTGGAATTCATACATCTTCTGATTAAACTTACTTAAGTGATCGCTTTTCACACTAAATTCATAACAATTTTCAATTTCTGACTTTGTGTGTAAAGTGCCTTTAAGAGTCGTAGTTGATAACTTATTTCTTAGCTTTGTTTTCATTATATTTATGCTTGAAAACAAGCGTTCCACCGTTGCGGTACTGTGCGGCAAACACAGAAGTTTTCTTGTTAAAATTGATAATAATGGAAACGTCTCTGATCCATCGCCTTGTTTTAATTTTGATACATGTCTCCAAAATTGGTCCTTACTGGGCGTCTCAGTCTCATCAAAATCAAAATTCGTATTTCTAAGAGTCCTCCATTCTCTATCTACTTCTGTTATATTATTTGGGCAAATATTTGGAAAATAATATAACATTTCCGAAATTGATGTAAAGTTTTGTCTCAAATCAGTATTTAAAATCACTTGTGGATTTAACATCTGCAAACATTTTAGTGCTTGCCGTTCTTTATCGTGGAAAGGAAATCTCTGCTTTATTTGGATTGCTGCCTCAATATAAAACTCCTTACATTTTGTGTAAAAATTCAGCAATCGATCATTGTCCAATCCTTCAGACTCCCTTTTCACCCGAATTATATTTGGAATCATTCCTCCAACATAAATTTCTAATAAAGGTAAATGAATTCGCAAATCGTTTATATCCACATTCAATACTTTTTGTTGTTTGGCATTTGTAATATTTTTTACCATATTCAATTCTTCTTTTGAACATTCCAAATATTTCGGTTGAATAAAGCATTCTAAAATTGTCGCATATGCTGTAAATATCTGATCACATAAAATGTACAATTTTGGCTTTTTTGCCTGCATTTCTTTATTCAAATTCACGAATATTGGCAGCGAAAATCGCAGGAATTCCAAATATAATTCTGTTGTCGGTTCCATGGCTTTTGTCAATATACTTTGTGCAGAAAGAAGACGATCCGTAAAGAGACAGCAGATTGAAAATATAATTTTATCGCTGGAAGTTGTTCCAACAATCGCTTCACAACATCGTTTAACGATAACCATGTGGTTTGTGCAGGGTGTAATATTTTATGCGGTTTAATATTTGTAAATGCCTGAAAAGTTTTAAAATCACCAATACGTTTAGGAGAATTTTGAATATGGTTGAAAACTTCACGGCAAAAATCTTCAAGACCTCTCGATAATTTTTCACATGCGTGGGATGCACAAAGCGCAAATGAATGGCATATACACTTCATTGTGAAAAGATTTGGAATATCATTCTTCAAATAAGTGACCAATGAGTTATTCGCCCCAAACATGAAATTAGCACCATCAGACGCAAATCCTAATAAATTTTTTTATATGGAATTTCTTTCTCCTCAAAATATTCAACAATTTTTGTATGCAAAGCTTTTGCTGATCCGTCGGTGATTGCAATCAAAGTTAGAAATTTATCTTCTACTTCATAATTTGCATTGACTATCCTGGTTATTAAAGCCAAATGCTTGATGGCCGACTTATCAGTGCTCTCATCAACCAGCAATGCAAATTCATTTTCTCTTAATTTTTCTTCAGAGGTTTTTTCTGTCACATTTACTATGACAGATCTTGCTTTTGTTCGGCTCATAGACAAATGTTCTGCAATTTTTGAATCCGGACACACCGATTTTACTAAATTTGTCAGATGTGAGGCAACATTAAATCCAAGATTGTGTTCTGCAATAAAACATGCTAATTTAATTTCGCCGGTTTTTGCCATTTGCTTTGGTTCCATTGATTTTGATGATGATGCAAAGACGTAAAGACGTAAGCTTCGGTTGCTTTTGTATTTTTTTACTGTTTTCTAGATGTTTTGATGAATTTTTGTGTCGCGTTAATTCTTGAATTCCGCATTTACGATCACAGTCATGCAGAGCAGTGAAAATATGTATTCCCTTTTTTACTTTTTGTAAGCCATCCACTAAAGTTTTTGTCAGTGAGCCAAGAGTCAATAAATTTTTGCTCGTATCTCACTACTTTCCTCTTCCTTGCGGGGGATTTGTCAACATCTGACACATTATCACTACTAGAACTATGCATTTTCTTAACTATTTGAACTCACACTATTAACTTATTCAACTTATAACAAAATTAAACTTATTCAACTTATAACAAAGTTTAACTTTTTAACTTATAACAACATTCAACTTATTTAACTTATACCGAAACACTAGTAACACTCTGCGTAATATATATAAAAATACAATATATAAATTTCAAAATGTAGATAAAAAAGACAAATCATTAAACACTTCCAAACTGATTTTGCTTCATATATCTCCAAACTTATACTGTCGCTGTTCGCCAAAGTTAATGTTTATGTTTTATGCGATAAAAGGCTTACGATGGCCCGTTGTTGGGATATGTTTAGTTTAGATATGATAAGTGCAGATCAATTAATAATTGTATATATAATAAATCAATCTTTAACGACTTTTGAGATGAGAAATAAACATGTGAAAACCGCCTTTCTGAATATCCATCAAGGGACATGTTATTGTTATATGTTTGTGTTATTTTTGATAGGATATTGAAGATTACTTTGGAGTGTTTTATCTCTAATTAGGCAAGAATCCATCTATTTTGTTTTTAACTTTTAGAGTTTTTACACGTATATTTGCTCTAATAATTACATATTGTTGAATTTTCTTATTTGTTTACAAATTTGTTATATTATTTTTAGATAAATAGATATTATTAAAATTTAAAAGTTATTAAATAAAAATTTCGTATTATTTATCATATTATAACACAATAGTTTATACATAGACAATAAAGGTAGTCCAATTCAATTCAATTCAAAGACTATATATTTCAGTATATAAAAGTATGTACATTGTATTTTATAACAAAAAACTATCAAAGCGGTCATCAGTATTATAATATATATTTTTAATTTTAAACAAAAATAAATCAAATAAAAAAAATGTTATCAGAAACACATATTACATCAATTAAACTTTTAAAATCCGCAATAAAAAAAACCTGCTCTTTTAGATCACTTTTCACGAAAAAAAACCCAACCGTTAAGTGGTTAAGGGGCGGTTTATATACAAGGCCAAGACAAGTATTTGTTTGTACATAAAAATTTACAAAAATTATATCATTTCCTGAAGTCTTTTCAACCCTTTATCTATAAAAGTAATCATAACAACAAAAATTGATAATTCCACGAAGGAAAATATTGTTACAAAAAAAAAACGCAAGATAAATTTTATGATGTATTTAACAATTACCAAAATGCTAACAAAAGACAAATGTGTATCCGCATTTGGGATTATAGGATTTTCCAATGAGCGTACGCCCGGCCATCTGCATAATTTAGCATTGAAGGTTTTCCTTAAAAAAATGTGTTTAGGAAATATTCAATTGATATCTCAAACAGTTTTATTATAGTCATTCTGAAAGGTTTTATTATATTTTACCTAACAATAAGCGATTATAATACTAGTAATTCTCAATGGGGCCAGATATAAGATTTTCCAAGTAATCCCGGCGATCTACATAATTTAGCATTGAAGGTTTTCTTTAAAAAAAATTGTATAGGATATATTCAATTGATATCTCAAACAAACAGTTTTATTATAGTTATCCTAAACACCATTCCAAAATGTTTATCGATATATTGTTTATTTTATTAATTTTGTAATTGTTAAATTTCAATATAAGTAATATTCATCATGTCATGTTATAATTATTGAAGGTAATTTCGAATCAATATAAAGCTAGCTGATAGTTAAATAAATAAATATTTTTTACTATAAATAATTATATATGTGGAAAGAATTATTAACATAAATCTCAACCTACAAAAGATAAGTTCATAAAAAATACTAAAATGAAAGAATTTTTATTTCGTTGGACAACCTAACTGGCAGTTGGTTTTTAAATTTAAAATCAGTTTCGACAAAATGGTTTATGTTGTCTCGTTAACGAGAGAGAAACGGGAAAGGAAACGGTTCATTGCGCCGCTAGTTACGTCGTTGTACGTTGCATTGACAGCAAGCGCACATCTAATAAAATAATGGATAAACATTATCTCTGGTTTAACAATATTAGTTTTATAGAAATTGACTTAGTAGAACAACTATTGAGTTCAACATAAAAAAATAAATAGTGCTCGTATCTTCAGCAAAAAACTGTAGATTTCGAGGCCAAAACTGCAAAACTGAGATCATTATCAAAAAACTGAACATCTACAGTTAAAACTGTAGACATGGCAACACTGCAGATGTGAGTGTGCCAACTATATACACGTCTAGTTCTCACCATCTCAACTCTACCAGGGCCCGATTAAAAAGAAAATTTCTTCTGCACTAATCAACAATAGATAAGTCCATTCGACAAATCACTGGCAATGGTCAGATGATTTGTATTTTGCCAACGCCTTCAGTTTCATGTCAAATATTTTACTTGTTGTCCGTTTCAGGACAGTTGTAAAAATTATTAAAAAAAAAAAAAAAAGTTCTCACCATCAGTGCTCAGCCCGGGATCCAGTTATTTTACTAATCATTTTACATATTACGTCATTTTCTGCAGGAAATACACCATTTTCGCATATTTGTTGATGTTCCGCATTATTGTACACCGCACTTTGACATGATATTTGTTATAAACTTTTAACAAACATTTGACACTTTGACACTAAAATATTATTCCGCCATATTAGATTCTAGAATATTTTCTTTAGCCCATTTTGTAGCGCTACCAGCGCTCCAAACGAGGGAGAGGGAACTAAAAACGAGATTACAGATGTTTGTTCCGAGATTACCGGCCATGACTAAGGGCTTCGCGAGGTTCTCATCGGACCTCAAACAGTTTGTCGGTAGAGGTCGAGGTGTAAAGGTGTGATGTTAAGTGACCGCGAAAATTTGAATATATTTTGTTGATGATAATTATAATTTTGATTTTGGGTTTTGAAATTATATATATAAAATAAAAATATATATATATATATATATATATATATATATATATATATATCTATACTAGATGACCCGACAGACGTTGTCCTGTACTCACCTCTACGTTTTTTTAATATCCTATACTAATATTTATACCGTTCAGTTAAAAATAATCATTATTGTTTTTCGAGTTACTATTTACACCAATACATGAGTGATGTTAAATGTAGTACTGTTTCAAATAAAATGATTATTTTCAATTCCTACAGTTAACACTTTAATTATCCCTTTAACAAATATTAAAATATATTCAATAAAACTATATATTAAAAATTATACACTGTGATTTATAGAACAAATTTATTTCCAATAGCTCAATTTATTTTATTGAATTTAAGGGTTATACAATATTTTTAGACATACCTGTAGATGTGGATATTTAAATGAAAGATTTTTTGTTTATTCACGGCTAAAACATTGATTTTCCAAATTTATCACCATGTATTTATTGTCATAGCATAGATACACGTGTTGAAAATTAAAATCTTTTAAAAAGTATAACAAATTCAGAAAGAATTAATACATAGCATGCGCGGTCAAGATACAATATCACCTTGGATTTTTCTACCCAAAATAATTGCTTCAATAATGTTGCCTACAATTTTTATAATTTCGTACCATATTTTAAATGGCTTTTAGTATTTTAATATCTAAATTGCATTTTTCACACTAATAATTCAATATACATTATTACTTAAGTTCATATTTCAAGTGAATTAATTTGTCAAATTTTTGTTCACATGTGCTCTATTCAACCTACTATCAACAAAATTATTGCTGTAAATGGAGAGGAAAAAAGCGTATGCGTGAAAACAATTTGCATTTTGTCACCACCCCCCGCATTAATTGGATTATAACTCTTTTAATTCTGATTTTATCATAACTTGTAATATACTATTTTAAAGGTGATTAAATGAGCCACAACTTTCTCTATCATAAATTTTACCGTAACTTCTCTTATTTTGAAAGGGCTCGAAAGATACTCCGGTTGGACAGCCGCGCACTCTTTAAACAATTAGAACTCTATCAATATTTGTGTAACAAAAAATAATAAAAAGCAATAATTAGTCTGAAAAATACCTTGAATTTTCATATACATATATATATACTTTTATACGTATTCTTTCAGAGATATTATAATGAGAAATTGGCTGTTTTTTAAATGGATTTTTTTTATGAAATCATGAGTTTTTTGAAAATCGTTTGTACGAATGTTATGGTATTTTCTAGAATACTATTTTAATCTCTCAAACCAAGTTAATTCTAGATGGAAAACGATTATTTTTAATTTTGGTGGAAATGGTACTCATAAACTATTTAATTTAAATGAAAAAAAAACATTGTATGCGTCTTATAATTGCATGATAGCTCACTCAATTTACACGCAGAAGTACTTCTTTTAAAGCTTATTTTGAGAACTATAAAAACCCATTTTCATATCTAGCCTAATAATGTTCCTAAAACACTGTAAAATAGCGATTTATTAAGATTTTAATTGATATAATTTTGTTCATTACATGATTTTCGTTAAAATGTATATTTTTGAAGATATTAGCAAAAAACAATGAAAAACGCAAAAAACAAACAAATTATCAGTAGCCAGTAACTTGAAAAGTATTTGCTTTTTTGAAAAACATTATTAAACATTTCTCTCTTATAATTAGTTCTTTTATCCACACCCAACGTTATTACACCACTGAAAAGAAATGGCATCCCCCCGGGTAGTGCAAAGGAGTCAAAATTGTTTTCACTTTTGAACTTGAGAGTAAGATGAGCCTATTTCCAAAATTCCAAATGAATTGGAAAACAGTAAAAAAAAGTTCAGACCCAAAGCGCTCCATTGAGTAAATATTCCGTACAAAATGCTAACCATATGAATTTTTGACACAATGAAACTTCTAAATATTTTTTTTTGTATTGTGACTTAGTATAGTAAGGCAAAACGACTGCAAATTGAATATTTTTGAGCGCAATCTCTTATGGCTCGTCTCCTTTGCACGAATTCGTACGGCGAATCTGTTCGCAAACTGCGCAAACAAAATTATTGCAAGCAAAAGCAAACCACGCGCACGTTGAGAACACGATTCGTCGTGCGCGTCAGACGCATGCGCAGACTGTCAAACGCATATGTTATATTATTTGCATCTTATATTATTTTAATTATGGCACATCTCAGCTGCTTTTCGATAATAATAATGTAGACATTACATTTTCTTTATTTTTAATCATGAATTTATTATATTTTAGTATTGCCTTAGCCTATAAGTGAATAGAAATGTTTGGCAAATGACAGTTGCCATTTGTTTTTAATGTCAAACCATGCCTTAAATATTTTAAAGGTCAAACAATGATAAGCTGTTTTTTGTATTTTTTCCATTTATTTCTACAATCTAACTATATTTCTATGAATCAAAACATTCTAGAAAATTTCCCGAACAAACTTCAGGAAGATTCATGAAAATCCGAATTATAGTTTAGGAGGATTAATGAAACTTACATTGTTACAGAAGAATTTTATATATAAGATATATATATATATATATATATATATATATATATAAAACGAAATTATATATAATCAATTGTTATGGTGTTTGATATTGGTTGTGTACTTTAAATGCACTGAAAATAATTGTGAGTGTGCTTAAAAACTTAATAAAAAATTACACTGTGACTTTTTGGATACCGATGTCTAAAGAATTTCAGAGATGTAAGTTTACTATTATGTATTTTATTAGTACATAGTCAAGAGATTTCTATTAATAAATCTTTTTTGATGTGAAAATGCAACCAATTTTGTACTAATTTTAAAATTAAACTAGTGGGGAGCATGGCATTGTGCCTTAAGGCAAATTCCTGGAACTTCCCGAACCAAAAATTATTTTTTTTTTAAAAAGATTAACATTTTTGGAAAAAAATTACTCTGAAAAAATTAGATCTTTGAGAAACTATAAATTTTTGACAAAAATTTACTTTTTTTTGAAAAAAAGACTTTTTGAAGAAAAATTTATTTTGAAATATTTTGGAAATTCTGAACATGTTTTCAAAGCAATCGTACTGCTTTAACTGCATAGAGACAAAATATTGAAGCGCCGCGTCGCCGTCTAATGGTTAAACATTGGAACGGAACCCATAGGAATGTAAACAAAATTTATACTTATTGTTAAAATCTCTATAAAATATCTAATAATTTGATGTGCATATGTCTAATGATCATTTTTGACCGCCAAATGGCATTTTTTTTTACTTTTTTTTACTAGATCTCCGAAACCGTTAGACCTGCCTTCATGAAAATTTGATTAGTTCTTCACCTTGTTAATACAAGTCAAATGTTTTTTGAATTCTTAAAATCGGACGCTCAGATCTCTTAAAAACCGTGTTACAGTTTATTATACGGCTAGACCTGCCTCCGCCAAAAACTAATCAGCACGTTTCCTTATCAGTACGAATCGAATGTTTTTTGAATTATTTAAATCGGTTGGTCGGTGTTCCCGAAATCGTCGACGAAAATTTGAATCCGCACACACACACATACATCCATTTTTTCTAAGGTATGCCAAAATATTCAGAAACCTTTGAAACGTAAAGATATATAAAAATTTTCATTTTCGATTTTTTTGCGATTACTATAACTTACCCTACGGGAAGTTTATTATTAGTAATTTTAAATTTATTTTGTATATCGAAAATAACTCAGATTTTAATTTTAATTTTGGCTTAAGTTCTAAAGCTCACTAATATACTTTAAATAAATAATTTTAACTTTGTAATTCAGTTTATATAATTCTTATAAATATTAGAAAATGTTACAGTATCTATAATAATGTATTTGAAAACATTTAATATTCCTCGAAATTTAATATTCCTTAAGGCACGATGCCATACACCACTAATTATTAAATCTTTTCTGATGTGTAAATGCAACAAATTTTGTACGGTTTCTAGATTTTATTTTAATTTATTAATTTTATGTTAAATATTTTAGCAATGTTTGTTGGCGGTTTAATATTTACTTTTATACAAACAGTTTATTGGCAGAGATCGATTTATAAAAGACCGCGAAATTTCAAATTTTTATTTTAATATATGTTGTTAATGACAATGATAATTCGTATGTGGTGTAAATTATATAATTAATTGTTACGGTATTCAAAATTTTGTTTTTTACATTAGTGTTTTAAGTTTTTTGAATATTTTCGGATATGTAATTTTACTATTGTTAAATAGTATATTGTGAATAGATATTTAGTATTTTTTTTCCATGTGTAGAAACAATAAATTTACTATTTTGTGTGAATCTATTTTTTTTATTGGCTTCCTCTAATTACACAATTAGACATTTTTAATACATCTTAACTCAAATATTTTCAATATAATTTTAAATATACATATTTATTTTTTAATTTTTGATCTAACTGAAAATTTACATATTACTATATTAGCTATTCTTATTACTAATTAATATATCTATGTTAAACGGTTTGATAATATATAAATTTCTATATATATGTATATATAATTTAACATACTTTTTCTGTTTTCCTCATATTTTTTAATCTATTTTTTATCTATCTATTTTTGTTGGCGGGTTAATAATTAATCCAGTGTTTTCCAACCTTTCCGTGCCGCGCCCTTCTCTTTTTTTAAATAAAATGTTGCGCTCTCCTTATTTTTAAGTAATCTAATTTTATAAATACTGCTTTGATTGCTTTTATAATTTTATCATCAGGTTACAAATTATTATGCAATAATATGTAAAAATATAATTAAAATATTTATTCCTAAAAAATCCGATTTGCTATAATTTTATGGTTTCTTGACGTACCAAGTCATTCTGAATCAAATGAGACTGAATTTGAAAAAAGTGTGTGTGAATGTAAGCTGATTTATGAAATTTCGTCAACGTTTTCCTAAAAATCTACTGGACCGATTTTAAAAATTTGAATGGCCATTAAATATAACTTGATCAGAATTAGTGTTTATCGTTTAGTGCGACGATCGGTCAAGCTGTTTCTTTGCAAAACTATACACTTTTCGTCAATGTTTATGCAGCCTACAATACGATTTAATTATAAATTTACAAATTATAAATTATATAAATTAAATTATTTTGTTTACCACATTTATTGATACTTGATGTCTAAAGAATTTCGGATGTAAGTTTTGCTAAATTTATTTATTTTGTTAATATTTGGTCTATACAAGGTCCATACATAGATATAAGAAGAATATATTTATATAAAAACAAATCATTTGTAATTCATTAAATATTTATAATATTTAAAAACCTAAATTTTAATATTATTGTAAAAATAATAAATATATGAAATAATAAAATTCAATTAAATATTTGTAATATTTATAAAATCTAAATTTTATTATTATTATAAACTAGCAAACCCGACGAACTCCGTTTCGCCACCAGATGGTTTCGTGAGAAAGATGAAGAAATTTTTTGTTTATTTTATATTTGAAAAGGAAAAATTTGATCAAGAAGGAAAACCCGACTTATTTTTATATATACGAGAGAAAATAATCTATTTGCAATTATTTAAAACAATTATTGATTATTTTTATTACTCGAATTTTTAATTACGGTGCGTGAAGTTCTTGCAATTTGCATTAGGGCACGATGCCATGCACCACTAATTTTCTTTCCAACGAATGCAAAATTGTCGGTTCGTGCGTTCTGGAGTTATTTCGTCAGGAAGGAAAAACCCGACTTATTTATATATATATATATATATATATATATATATATATATATATATATATATAGAAGACATCATATTATTAACATAATTAATATAATATTTAATAAATATTTATAATATTTATTAAATTTAAGTTTGTTATTATTATAATTATTACATTTATGATAATATTTAATAAATATTAGTAATACTTTCCGAAGAAGTTTATGTTTTTGCGAAAATATCCGATTTCCGAATTTTATGTTTCCTCGACATTTCAAGTCATTCTGAATCGTATAACACCAAATTTGAGACAAGTATGTGTGTGTATGTATGTGAGCCGAATTTTCGTCAACGTTTACTCAAGAACGGCTGCACCGATTTCTCAAATTTAAAAGCCAGAGGACTGAGGATCGTTAGTATGTTTCGCGGGACGATCGGCCAAGCCACTTCTTTGTGATTAGTGGAAAAGTGTAATGTTTTTAAAATCGGTTTAACAATTCAAAAACCGTTTAAAAATATTAATTGATTCGTTCGAAAAAAATCGCGTTGACTAGAATTTGGTAAAGATCGTTTTCTAATTAAATATTGATATTTTTTGCCGATTTTGATGAAACTTTATATAACGATAGATATAGTAGTCTGAAATATTTTACTAAAATATTATAGGCATACGATCAGCGGTTAAATTATAAAAAATCATCAAAGCTTACAATTTCGCCGCGCGTTTAAGCGATTCTAATCAGAATCAATGCGAAAGCATCTGTGTGATGTTTCGTAGGTAGCTACTGATTACAGTATACGTTCACACTTAATAAAATACACTTTTAGATTCCTAAATAAATGAAATGAAATATGGTAAATTAATTAATTAATTTTATACAATTACATATATTATAAGTATTTTTAAAAGACATCAATTAGAAATCGTACTGATTATTTTTTTTAGTGAAAACGTAAATTTGTTTCATTTCATTTTCGTGTTTTAAAAATGTTTCATACTGTTTTTAGATCCACTGATGATGGCATTGAATTGAATGTCGAAACGTTTGGAATTAAAGATTATTTTATAAATCTTTGCCTTTTCTTTGTTTGATGTATCGCCCTCAAGAACTCACTCATATATATATATATATATATATATATATATATATATATATATATATATATATATTTTGTATGATTCTGAATTTGATGTTGACATATGTATTAACAAAGTCTAATAATCTAATAATAATCTAATAATAATCGGGCATAACATCAATAAAAAACAGTTTTTTATTGATGTTATGCCCGATTATTAGACTTTGTTAATATATATATATATATATATATATATATATATATATATTAATATATATATATATATATATATATATATAAATATTTATTTATTTATTATATATATGATAAAATTGTTCTTGGGCATCCATCCAGTAATTACAAAGAGTTTTATTGAAAAAAAAATGTTTTTATTAAGAAAACATTCGTTTCGGATCCTGATTTGACCCATCTTCAGTGCATACAAATAAATTGAAAAAAAAAACACAAAACCACACGAAAATTGCACGAAAAAATTATGAAACACGAATTGATAAACGTCGAGTTATGATAAATTTTAAATAATTGTAAAATAAAAATAAATAATATAATTTATTATAAAAAAAGCTTAATCAAAACGAAGCATGTTGTCAGCTTGGAGTTTATGTATATATAAATATATATTTAGGTATATAGTATAGTAACAAATTCCAAAATGATGAGTATTTCTAAACGATTTGGTATATTAGTGATCATATATGGATTTATCGCACGGTACCTACCTTTTGTCCTTTTGTCGAGATTCTAATTATTTAAATAAATCAATTATCACCTTAATGACTAGAAAACACTGGTAAATGATTTTCAAATTTCATTATAATTTACCATTTTAGCATTTACAAACAAGAATCATTGGACACCAAAAAATGTTTTGGCGAGGATAATAACACTGATTTTCCGAATATGATGGACCATAAGAAAATGTCACTAAACAACAGCGCCATGAAATCGCTAGATAGCTCGCAGGAAATACCTAGTACTAAATCAAATAATGAAATCAGCCAAGTTGAACCAAAGATGTTTGGAAATACCATAAATAAAAAGAAGTGCCTTAGTAATGTTAAGTCAAATTGCTCCGCATTCAATACCAAAAAGAAACATTCATCCACTTCCAAAAAACCAAGTAAGTCTATTAATCAAAACAAAGAAAATCGAGTTCACAAAAATGCATGTCCTTCAAAGAAAGAACGATCGAGCAAAAAGCTGAAGGAACTTTTTGGAGACGACCGGGAAGCTGTAAAACGTGATAAAACTGGGATACAAGAAATAGATACAAATTTAAAAATGACGGTTTCAAAAAAGTTAGATCGAGACATAAGCGAAAGTCGGAAGAATTTTTGAAATTTGGAAGCGTCAAAAAAAGTAAGAGTGATCCATCAGGGGAATCTATTATAAAAGCTCTAGCAGAGAATGAAAATATTATTTCAAACCAGGTAGTATTGCCTAAAAATATCTTTGTCAAAAATGTGCGTGAAATAGATATTTTTAAAGATATTGATATTTTAAAGACGAATAATGACCTTGTACCCAATAAGAAAAAGAAAAATCAACGTAAGCGGGTTAAAAATAAGGAAAGGAATTTTCAGCAGAATATTAATAATAACAATAAAATTGGTCAGCTCACAGCACAAGACGAAACTCAAATTTTACCTAATCAACATTCTGAAGAAGCGAAGTCCGATCATGGGATGGATAATGCTAATTATAATACTAATGAAGCCAGTAAGTTTGATACCGATGCCATTCAAATTTTAAATGTTTTCTCGGTCAGTCAAGGCGAGAATGTTGACACAAATAAAAAGACAAATTTAGAAACTTCAGAACCAGCCAATTTAACGCAGCCTATAGGCCTGAGTATGCCGATTTTAGACGAAACAATAGAGTGGCAAATTAGCCAAAATTCACCATTACCAAAAATTGTGAATGCTTCTTCATTAAGTGAAGATAATAGTATTACATCGAATGAAGAACAAGAAACGACTCGTAATTCAAAATTGGATATAAACAGGAATGAAGAAATTACTATTGACTCTAATTTATCTAGTGATAAGAATAGTAGAAGTGAACCAAAGAGGCCAGTAACAATTAATAATAAAAGCTTGCAGGAAAATTGTCAACAGATCTTAAACTATGCCAAACAAATAATAAAAAAATTGTCTGATAAAGAAATTGTGGAGGAAAATAGTATTATGGATAAAGTCGCTTGCGATAATCTACCTGCAGATAACTTTAGTAAGGATTTACTTATTTCTACTAGTCAAACACAGAAATCTCACAAAGATGATCAAACTTTACTCATCAGCAGTGATATACAACAAACAATAAATGGAGACGTTCCAAAGATTATACCAAAGTTTAATATTACTATAGAAAGAAGTGATAATGAAACGGGTAAAAGTTCTGCTAATATAACAATATCATTTGCAGAAAGCCAAAATGCCAGTACTCCTAAGAAAAATGATTTGGAAAATAAAGTGAAAAATATGCCAGTGTCAGCTAGTTCCATAACGAATTTATCGGATCAAGAAGCATCAATTTCTTCGAAGGTAAATTTAGATTTACAAGTTAAAAATACCTATGTGATACCACCGCAAGCAGCTGCTGAAATATCACCAGAATTATTCCAAAATAGTCCGCAAAGTAATCAGCAATTATCGCCTGTAAACAATAAAGTTAAAAATATGCCAGTATTACTTAATTCCAAACCCAATGTATCGCTTAAATCGACGATTCCTTCGAAGGTTGATTCAGAATTACAAGTTAAAAATACCAGCGTGATACCGACGCATAATGCTGTTAAAATATTACCAAAACCGTTTCAAAATAATTCGCAAAATATATTATCCTCTGTAGACAAAAGTACAGCTGAGCAATCTCTGACAATTGTTCCAATATGTCAGTCGAACTCAACACAGGAAAATGACAAGATAACAGAATCTTCCAAGCAATTTGAAATACAAGAAAAATCATCGGAGCCGTCAACTTTGCTATTGCCAGCAAGTCAAAATAATTTAGTTTCGCTTCTTTGCCCTCCGAATCCAATAACGATAACTCCATTAAATGACCAATACAAAATGATCAATTTACCAGTTTTTGTGAATGGAACGCAAATAATTCTACAGTCACCAACTGCTTTACAAAGTGAAACTTGTGAAAATTCATCTATCAACCCAGTTATTTCTTCACAGCCTTTTTCTAATTCTTGTGCTTTTGGATTAGTACAATCTGGAATTTCACAGGAGAAAATTGTGCTAACCAAACCTTCTGAGCGTTTAGTCAATACCGCTCCTGACAATGCCCAACATAAACTACCTGACATACAAGTTAACGAAATTAGGCATTCTTCAGATTCACAAACAAGGATTTTCTCATCAAACAATCAGTTCATAAGATCTTCTGATTCTGTAATAGTGTATTCGAAACCATCCATTAGTTTCCAAAATGGACAGAAACGTACTTTACCACAGACTGAGCCAAGGACAACGAGCAGAACACACGAAAAAGCTTTTTCTCCTGCCATTATTTCAAATTCGGAAAATGTTAATAATGGATCCACAGCAAGTGTGTGCATAACTCAATTTCAGCATTTAGATCAGAACCGACATAACTTTAATATGGTACGTTCTGAGTTTAATACTTCACCTCAAACTGCGACAAATATTTATGACAAGAATGCTAATAGCGGTAGCGGCAACATGCCATTTGAACTTCCTGGTGATTTACCATTGGCAGAGACATTGAATCGACCTGGAAAATCAATATCATCAAAGTTTGATGCAATGAATCGTGCGAATTCTTCAAAAGCAGCTTCAAATTTTTCATCGAATGTATCTCCAATGAATATAACTAATAGCTTATCATCTCCTGAACAATCGCATATTTCGAGTGCCATGTCTCGATCTGAAAACACATCGAATGAGACAAACGCGAGTTTTCCAAAAATTCGAGTTAGATCATTGGAAAGTATGAATTCACAAGAAGCCGCTGCCGATATAAACTTACCATCGTATAGAAATCGTCATCAAAACTCGATTAATGCCTCAATTGATGATGTCGATTTTCATATGTGTAAAGATGCAACCTTTTTATGTTTTGCCGTTGACATTTCTAATGATATTTTTTGTGCAGTGAATAATTATAATAATAGACTATCGTTTATCAATGCTAATGGTATCGATAAATTTCGTTATAGAATTAGTTTATTGGATTACGATGTCTTAAGATTAACAAGAAGAAAACGTTTATTCAATGCTTTAAATTATTTGTCGAAAAAATACGCTTATTCGAATGTTACTATACTAAGAAACAAAACTGTTTTTAATAAAATATTAGACATAGCAAAAAAAATGTTTGAGGCGAGCGATATAATTAATCACATTGAATCCTTATGTCGAACTTTATTCGTTGAATTATTAAACACGCTTACAAATTCAAAAAATAGTGAAAGTTGTGAACCAGATATTTCCACAATGCAGCTTTCACCGACTAATTCCTTCACTCCCTCGCAAGAAAATAAATTTCAAGAAATAACTGAAAATTCAAAAAAACAGAAAACCAAACCTAATGGTAAACCTAAGAAACCTAGAAGGCCTAGTCTTCGGATAAATGATTCAGATAATACAACTGATTTGTCGCATCCAAACCAGCCTCTTTCCCAAAACAAATCATCTTCGGATATTCAATTGTTGAATCAAAATAATGCATCGAAAGAATTACCACATACATGGTCAAGGACAACAAGTACAGGAAATAAAGCATACTTTCAAATGATGTTTGAACAATCTCTGAATGGCAGACGAAATTTGCAACAAACTTCAGTCACAATCGAAAAAGCAGTTACTAATAATATTCTACCAGTTGACAACAGAAATAACTTTTTTCCAATGCCACGTATCAATTTCCAACAAACAGCCGAAAATGGTTCACTATTGAATCAATATATGGGGCAGAGTAATGTAACTAACGTTTGCTCAAACATAGCACCCGTAATATCGCAAAATCATTATTATAATAGACCGTATGCTAATAATAGTTACCGCCCAGTCTCGTACTTGAATAATCCAATGCAATCTCAGCAGATACCGTATTCTCGAGAACAAAGTAATTTGTTACAATGTAGTAATTTGGCTATGATACGGGCTCAAAATAATTGCAACAATATGAACAATTATAGACCATTTATGAACAGTTTCAATAATATGCACCAAGTTTCTTTTCAAAATTGTGCACCGGCGACTAGTGCTACAGCAGGGGTATCCACCAATAATCAAAATAGTATGTGCAATAACCTTTATCAAAGAAATCAGAATCTGGGTTGTCGTTTCGGTCAAGGTGTTCCAAATTACAATAACGTGCAAATGATTTCAAATCCTTTCCAAAACTTGCCGAATATAAGTTCTATAATTGAAAATAGTTCTGTACAAGACCCTACGCAAATGCAGTTTCAACCAGCTCCGGCCATGAACGATAGAATTGGAAATCCATCATTAAATTCTCAAACTTGCGGAGCACAAAATGCCTTCACTGGACACATTGATTCAACACAAAATTTCTTAATAAATCGCCCTGCAGAAAATAGTGTTGTTGGAACTAATTCATCGCATGTAAACACTGCGAATGGGTCCATGATGCAAAATAATCAATCTGAGCAAGATGCACCAATGAATATTACAAATGATCATCCAGAAGTAGCAAAAACGATGGATAAACCATGCCAATCAGTTCATATGGTAGGTGAAAAGCTGTGTTCCAAAGAAGGGCAAACAACTGAAATAGTCAGTTCTATTTATTATTCACTCCTTTCCAACAAAAATAGTAGATGCACCATGTCAAGAAAATCTCAAGAAGCAAGATCCTGCGCCTATGAATTCTCACCAGGATACTGAGGTAAGTCCATCAATTTTTTAATTATTTGGGAAAAATGTAATTGTTATTAATATTTGTTATTTTTTTGTAGAAAGCTTCATCTGATGGAGATGATATTATAGATGGGCCACGGATAATTTATTGTACTATGTGCGACATGATAGCTAAAATCCAATGCACTATATGTAAAGCGGCATGTTACTGCTCAATCGCATGTCAAGTAAGTTTTTTTTCTTTTCAATTCTAAAACTTCATTTTTTATCCTAACAATTCATCAATATTTCAATTTTCTTCAAGTGTTCCTGAAAATTCTTTGCATGGCTAATAGTAATTGATCCTTTTTTACCGCCGATTTGAAAAATGACAAGAAAAATTGTTTTTAAGTTTGTTAAAAAATGCGAATTGGTATTTATGAAATGGTATTTGGAGTTTTTTTATATATATTAAAGATTTATTAAATGAAATTTCAAAATTTGATTATATGTTAAAGTTTAAACAAATATGAAATATGTTTATGAAATGAAATAATTTATATTCATTTATTATTTAAATAATATGTAATCACACACACATATATATGAATAGGTATATATATATATATATATATATATATATATATATATATATATATATATATATATATATATATATATATATTGAATGGTAGAATCTTGGATTTGCGTATATATATATATATATATATATATATATATATATATATATATATAACATGGTTATGATTTTATTCTTCTGACCTAAGAGCTTAAGTTTTTCTTCAAAAAAACTTTATTCTTCAGAAACTGTTAAAACAAACAAAATATATTATTAATAATTATAAATATTTCCACATTTACGTTAATTTTTATGTAAATAAAAGTGGTAAAAATTATTTTCCTTTCTTCCTTAAAAATTGATTAAAAATTTAATCTTTCAAAGACGAAAGCGATTTCTTTTACCATTGATTAAATTGTTATTCTTCGGAGGCAAAACCGATTTCTTTTACCTTTGATTATAATTTCAGTATTTCAAAGGGTACAAATTAATTCTTATCTTTGATTGGCATTCAAATATTTCAAAGGTAAAAAAATATTTCTTTTATCTTTGAGTAAAATTTTAATTTTTCAAAGGTAAAAAATGAATTCTTTTAACTTTGATTAGAGTTTTGATCTGCCAAAGGTAAAAAGTGAATTTATTTTAACCTTTATTAAAATTTAAATCTTCCAAAGATAAAAAATGTTTTTTTTAGCCCTGATTAGAATTTTAATCTTTTAGTGGTAAAAAATTAATGATTTTACCTTTGATTATAATTTTAATTTTTCTATGGTATAAAGAAATTTTTTTACCCTTTTTTAAGGGTAGATAAAAAATGAATTTTTCTACTTTGCTTAGAATGTTAATTTTTCACCGGATTTTACCTTGATTAGATTTTTGAATTGATATTAAATTTTTCAAGTGTTTTTTTTTTTTTAATTTTAAATGAATTAAAAAAATGTATATATATATAAGAAAATAATCATAAGAGAATATTTAAATAAATTTAAGGCCTTTAATTCAGAAAAATAACGGATGCTTCTTTAGTCGAGAAAAATAAAATCATAATTAATATTACTTATACAGAAAAAATATTATCTATCTAAACTGTATTTTTAATATGTTTTTATATAGAACTATGTATTATTATAATGTTTTTTATATAGAACTATGTATTTAGCTTTAATTGGACAGTATTCATTTTAATTAACGATACTCAATATGAAATTGGAAGACTGACTTTCTGATCTACTTAATTTTGTTCTAATGTTTTTGTTAATAAAAATAATAAAATAATACATGTTTTATTAAACTATAAAGTAAAATTTATTTGATTTATTATTTCTTTTTCCACTTTTAGCAGCAGAACAGAAACTTATCATTTTGTTTTTTTGAACTGAAGTATTTTATTGGCCTTTGGGTGTATTTACCAATTATTGTAAAATGGGGTTGTATATTACTCAAAACATTTCCTTAGGAGCCTGAATCATTTTTATTTTTGGATGGTAGATGGTAGATTTTCGAGCATGTACAAGGCCTTACAGATTTTATCATAAGCTCCAACAATTGTCAGCCATCATGTGGATGTCCCATCTTCCTATATACCGCTCCCCCAAAGTTCTGATGTCTTGGTGGATACTCCTGTCCTGCTTTTCGCTAATATTTTACATTTAATTTAACATTTTCCAAAAACCGTTCTAAATAAGAGTGCGGGTGATGAATTCAAATCAATTACATCAAATATATCAGTTTTTAATTTTTCTTTTTTAATATTGTTTTCTGCATCTATTACTTGGTAAGCATGAGATGTTGATGTTCTAGATTGTTGATCATTAGCATGGATAGGGGTTGTGTAACGATCATAAGTAGACCTTATTCTATTGAGATTGTGGTTTTTACTTCTATTGCCTGAATTTATTTCATTGATATTCACCACACAGAAGAAACAATCGTTGTGGTGATTCTGAGGTTTTTTCTTAATGACGGAGGTTTTAAGTTAAATCATTTCTTTTTTCTTCTAGATAACTACGAAATTTTTTCACATAGTATGAAGAACAAAGTTCGAGTTCTAATAAACTATTTTTAAGACTATATTTATTTCATTAATAATACATTATTTTTGGACGTATTTTCCAAGAAATTCGTATACTGTATGTCTTGCAGAATTTGTTTTATAAATTAAACACTATTTTAATTCAATTCAATTTATTTGCCGAATAATTGTAACGGAGTACGGAAATCACAATGATATCGATTTACTGATAAAAGGTACTATCGACCTGAACAGTTATAATCCCAAAATTTATCTATTGAAATTCTAGTTACTGCTGCTACTGATAATACTGCAGCAGCAGTGTTGACTAGTGTGAACAAAAATAATGGTATTACCATATACAATTCTTTCCATACTCCCACTCGATGCACAATTGCATCCAAAATCAAATAAACTTAAAGTTAAATCTAGTAGATAACATCTTAAGTCACATACAAAATAATTATAAGATTCTTAATAGCTACAAAACTTAAAGAAATTTACTTAGCTACATACAAAAAATCATACATTTTTTCTAATACAAAATACAATATTCAAGAAATAACACAAGATACAAATATTTGTTATTTACAATATTAATCATTAATTGGCAAAGGCACTAATTTATGAATGGGTCTTGTGTAGGTTCCATTTGAGGTTTTAACTTCTGCCACTCGAACTTTACCATCACGACCATAATTTAAATTAACAACTCTAGCCAAGCACCATCTTAATGGGGGAAGGTTATCCTCTTTAATCAAAACTATTGAGTCTAATTTCAAATTTGGCTGATTATCTGACCATTTATTTCGCTTTTGCAAATAAGATAAATAATCCTTTGACCATAAAGTCCAAAATTTATCTCGCATGGCAGTTAATTGCTTATATACCGTTAATGAATTTAATTTATCAAAATTTACGTTTTGGTTCTGGGATTGTAGTTAAAAAATCTCCAATCAAAAAATGACTAGGCGATAAGTACTGAAAACTAGAAACATCATCTGTTATTGCCATAAGAGGACGTGAATTAAGAACTGCTTCCACCTGTAATAGTACTGTTAAATATTCCTCATAAGTTAAACAGGAAGAGCCTATTATCCTTCGAAGGTGATATTTCATAATTTTAATACTTCCTTCCCACAATCCACCAAAATGTGGGGAATGAGAAGGAATAAACTTCCAAGTAATGCCCATCGTCGCAGCTTGGTTAATTATATCTGCCTTGAAGGACTGTTTACTAAAAAGACTCCGTAGCTCTTGCAACTCATGATTAGCGCCTATAAAATTCGTTCCGTTGTCGCTATTTATTACCGAACATAGACCTAGGTAGAGCTCTACGAGAAACGAATCTCTTTAAAACACAAATAAATGATTCTGCTGTGAGGCTAGTTGTAATATCTAAATGAACAGCTTTAGTCACCATGCAAACAAACAAAACAATATAAGCCTTAATTCTTGGTGCTTTCCTTAATCGACTCGATCTTATAGTCAGCGGTCCAGCGTAATCAACCCCAACATTAAAAAAAGGGCGTTGAAATTTAACTCTATCAATGGGTAAACTTCCCATTAATTGAGAGGCAGTAACAGCTTTAATTTTTGCACATTTTACACATGAGTGTATTATCGCTTTTAGCTCTCTTCGCGCGTTCAAGGGCCAATATTTTCGACGAATATTTGCTAAAACCGTTTGCGTGCCCGCATGCATCAATCTTTCATGCTCTTGTTTCAATAAGAGTCTTGTAACATAATGTTTTTTAGGCAGAATTATTGGGTGCTTTTGTTCATAAGAAACATCAGCGTTTTCTATCCTACCACCCACTCTCAAAAAACCTGACTTATCTAAGAAAGGATGAAGCGATTTCAATTCCGCCATCAATTTAAGATTAGGAGTATGTTTACTATCTTGCAGATTTTTTATTATTTTTGCGAAGGTTTCTAACTGAACCAATTTTAAAATTACCTTCAACGCATTATCTAATTCTGGGACCGATAACGTATTGTGATCACCACGACCTATCGACCTCTTAATATAAGGGCTCATTCTTAAGCAGTAAGCTAGTACTCTAGTCATTTTACTTAGCGTTCGGGTAGAGCAGCATCTAAAGAAGGATCAACATTTGGCCACCTATCAGTATCCTCAGACAACCAACTTGGGCCATTCCACCATAGCTCACAAGTTTTTAATTGATCTGCGGATAAGCCTCGTGAAATTAGATCTGCTGGGTTGAAATCAGAAGGCACATGTCTCCAGATTGTGCCGGGAGTAATGTCAGTAATTTCTCCTACTCTATTGCTCACAAAAATATGCCATCTATTTGGATCGCCAGCGATCCATGATAAGACAATGTTCGAGTCACTCCAAAGTAAAACCTTTTCAAAATTTATATCAACGTTATCAATCACCCTTCTGAACAACCTAGCCAATAATAAAGCAGCACACAATTCCAACCTCGCTAAAGTTATCGGTTTTAAAGGTGCAACTTTTGATTTCGCACACAGTAATTTCACACTCGTAGTTTTATCTTCATATGCGGTTTTAACATAAAAGCATGCTCCATAAGCATATGAAGACGCATCAGCAAAACCATGAAGTTGAATACTTATAATACGTTTGTGATGAAAAACGCAAAGGTGTTAATAGAATTTTTATCGTCAGTAAAGATAGGGTTATTAAATTCTCTCAATTGCAAAGGAATATCATTTAAAAAACTTGGAATATTTGAAGCCCATTTATGTAAGCAAAAACCGCCTAATTCTAATAACTTAATTAATTCAATTTTAGTACGCTGTAAATGTTCTATACTATTAGCACCAGTAATTATGTCGTCGACATAAATGTCCTCTAAAAGTACATGTGAAGCAATCGGGAATGTGGCTTTTTCTTCAAAGGCTAAATGATTCAAACATCTTATCGCAAGATACGGAGCTGAAGCCGTTCCGTAAGTTACAGTTGTAAGTCTGTAACATCTTATTTCTTCCGAAGGAGAGTCCCTCCAAAGAATCCTTTGATACTCCTGATCGGCTCTTTTAATATTTATTTGTCTAAACATTTTAATTAAATCAGCTATGAAAACAAAAGGCTTCGATCTAAATCTTAACAAAATACAAAATAAATCCTTCTGTAATTTTGGACCAGTTAGAAGGATGTCGTTAAGAGACTTTCCCGACGAAGTTTTAGTCGATGCGTCAAAAACAACGCGTATTTTATTAGAATCTGAATTTTTAAAAACAGCATGATGTGGCATATAATAATGATTATGACTGGTAAAAGAATCAAAGGTATCTAAAGTGTCCGATTTTGGAATATCAGTTTGAACGGCGTGCCCCAAAGAAATATATTCATGAATAAACTCACAATATAGTTTATATAAATTGGGATTCTTGTAAAAACGCTTTTCTAAATAAAGAAATCTTTTATGTGCAACACCATATGAATGACCTAATTGTCCTTTATAATCTGGTGTAAAGGGCAAGGCAACTTCAAACCTATTATTAATTCTAGAAACACTAGATAGAAACTGCTCTTCACAAATTTTATTTAAACCATAAAGGCGCATATTTGTCTCAGGTATTTCCTCCAAATTCCAGAATTTAACTAAATTCTCATTTAATTTAAAATTAGAATGTGTTATCAAACCTACATATTCCTTAGACCTTTCAACACTATTGTAATTGCCCGAAACAATCCATCCAAACTTAGAGTTACGTAAAATCGGGTGATAACTTCCTAACCTAATAGAACCCTGCTGTAGAATGTCGAAGAAGAGTTCAGCTCCTATCAACATATCTATAGGGCTTGAAATATAAAAATGAGGATCTGCTAATTTAATGTGTGAGGGAATATTCCAATCGTTTATATTAATATCAGCGGACGGCAAATTACTAGTGATTGATTTTAAAACAACAAAATCTAAGGTTCTAGAAAACGTAGAAGCATTTGAAAATATTTTTATAGTAGCTGTTTTATTACTAAATAACGAATGTCCATGTAAAACACTTAAAGAATTTGATACTGTATTTAGAGTGCAATTTAACCGGTCGGCAAGTGACTCCGAAATAATATTTATTTGACTACCGCCATCTAATAATGCCCGTACATTGAATGATCTACCAAATGAATCATAAACCCTTACAATGGCAGTAGATAACAAAGTTTGAATGTTATTTTTACAATTAGCTAACAAAATCGTCGGTGGCTTATCAGAAGGCTTATCTACTTGATAACTAATCTGATCATTTTGTGCAATGTGTAACAAAGTATTATGCAATTCGGATTTACATATCCTACATGTACCTGTATACTTGCAACTTGATAAGGCATGAAAACCATCTAAACATTTCTCACAACAATTATTTTTATTTGCAAATTTCTTGCGTTCTTGTACAGACAATTTTTTGAATGCGTCACAACTAAATAATGGATGATTTCGTTTGCAAAATGGACAAATTCGCTTGGATTTTTGTTTACTAATGAAATTAACGGGTTTTGAATTAAATTTTGATTTACTACTAGAAGGTTCTAATCTAAAAGTCGCCTCCAAGGCTGAAATACGTGATGTTAAAAATTCAAAAAATTGTTCTAAAGTAGGCAAATCTGTATTCCTATGTAAATTCCATGCCAAGCAGGTTTTATCGTCTAACTTTTTTGTGAATAAAAATATAAAGACTAAATCCCAATACTTAGCGTCATTATAGACTGATTTCAGTGATAGCACCTGTTGTCGAGCAGTATTTAAAAATGAATTTAAATGTTCAAACGTATCTCTAGTTAAATTTGGTAAATTAAATAATGATGACAAATGTGCATTAATAATGAAAAGTTTATTATCATAATGCTGTGTCAATGAATTCCAAGCTATGGCATAGTTTTGGTTTGTCATGGTTAAATTCGCTATCAATTTAGACGGGCCAGACGACAATGAACCTTTTAGATAATACAACTTTTCTACATCTGTTAAATTTTTGTTGTTATGTATTAATGAAATGAAAATGTCTTTGAACTCAACCCATGAATTATATTCGTCATTGAACCTCGGCAATACTATGTCAGGTAATTTAACCTGCGGATTATTGGGTTTTATTATATTATCAATAGCTTGTTTGTTATCAACGGCGTTATCTTGGACTAATTCGTCAATCCTAGTCAATAAATCTAAATGTTTCTCACAATATTTGCGGAATTCTACTGAGTACTTTTTGGGCTCGAGCAATTCTAATTCAACATATATTTCCTCGATCCGATGAAACATTTCTAGTAATTTCTGTTTGCGTATATTTAAACCGGCAATATTGTCGCCTTTAAAGCTAGTAACATATTTAAATATAATGTCAAACGTAATTTCTATCTGTGACCTCTGTTGCAACAATGTACTTAAGTCGGCCATCTTGATTGAAGTTAAATTATTACTTCAAATTAAATTTATAAACTAATAACAATGGTATAAAGAATGAAAAATATGAAAACAACTTTGAGAAAAAATAATATAATATTGTTAGGTAAGGCCACACGAGTATAAACTTCAGACCTTAAGCTAACTATAATGGATGTCGGTCGCGTAAAATGGCGTCAAAACAACAAAGAAACCTACAAGCCTACGACATTTACAACTCAAAATTTATAACTATAATAAGCAATTACAATACAATGAAATAATTATAATATTCACTGTAGGTAATGTCAAATAAATAAATGTCAATAGATATCACTTCTACAAGGTCACCTCATGAATTCTTCTAAGTAATTCCTTTGGGACACGTGGTAGACTTTCCACAGCTCCTTATCTCCGCATATGTAACTAGTAGACTCGCGACACTTCCTGAACCCCAAGTTCACTCAGGCCACGTGGATGATGTCCACAGTAATTCGGCAGCAAATTGCACGTGTCAGCATTCAGCAAACTGCAGCTAATTGCACGTTCACGTATTGCACAAAATTGACGTAGTGCACAAATTTTAGAATAAAATGTATATTCTGCAGCTCAAGATCTAGCCAAGATCCGGTTGAAGGACCAAAATTTTTTGGACGTATTTTCCAAGAAATTCGTATACTGTATGTCTTGCAGAATTTGTTTTATAAATTAAACACTATTTTAATTCAATTCAATTTATTTGCCGAATAATTGTAACGGAGTACGGAAATCACAATGATATCGATTTACTGATAAAAGGTACTATCGACCTGAACAGTTATAATCCCAAAATTTATCTATTGAAATTCTAGTTACTGCTGCTACTGATAATACTGCAGCAGCAGTGTTGACTAGTGTGAACAAAAATAATGGTATTACCATATACAATTCTTTCCAATTTTTAAAGCACAAATATTTTTATTTGAAATTTTGGCGCTTTAATTTGAATGGCGAGTGATTTATTGAAGCGCCATTGCAATGTAGCGTCCGTAGCAATAATTAATTCTTTGAACCAAAATAGGACCGATCTGTCAGTTAAAATTAACCTATTCAAGTTATATTAATATAAACAACAGAAAATTAATTAGACATAAGAAATATATATTTAAAATATATGAATTTGTGATATTTAATTTTATATAACGTTTTATCATATAACAAAATAATATATAATATAATCGGTATGTTATCTTTTGCAATAAAATTGCATACGTCACATATTATTATCTTTTCTAAGCTTGCATTTCATGCTTATCAAAACTGTTTTTGAATAATGCTGTGTAATTACTTTAGCTTTTCATTAAACAACAATATGTTGAAAGGAGTTATATTAATAGGTGGTCCTCAAAAAGGTATGAACTATTATCATAAATATTTATAAAAATTTTAAATTTTGAATATCAACTACTATACATATAGTTTTTATTATATTCTTATTTGACACTCATGTTAATTGCATATATATATAGTATAACTTTGTTTCAATTATTAATTAGAATAGGATTTAACAAACAATAGTGTAATAGTTGTAGAAGTGTATTCTTGTAAACAATACAAAAAACACACATTTTGAAACTTTATCTAGTTTTTTTTTTCCACTGAATGATAGTGTCGATGCAGACGAACATGTTTACCTTAGCATATTTCTTGATTATTTATTATTATTGATTTATTTTTCTAGGAACAAGGTTTAGACCCTTGTCTCTCGATGTTCCTAAACCACTCTATCCAGTTGCCGGCTTACCAATAATACAACATCATGTTGAAGCTTGCGTTTGCATTCATAATTTAGAAGAAATTTAAATTGTTGTACCATTAGCGTAGAAATTAATAAATATACATTTAGTTCAGAATAGTTGAAACACTTAGCAATCTTTATAACATTGTTTATTCACAAAATAAAAATATAGAGTTGAAATTAATAATTCTTGTCAACGATGTGTATCTTATGGCGGTCCAAATCAGAGAGAGTTAGTCGGCTTCCTCTTTCCAATAACCTGGCGTCCTGGGTTGCCATAGCAGTCATGAGTGTCCTTCCCAAAGCCTCGTGTACAGGGTTGCCAGAGCAATGACATCTGTCCTTTCAAGCTTCAGGACCATAGATAAAAGAAGAGTATGTTCGGGACGGTGAACATAAATGTCAGATGGCACAACAAAATAATAGGATTCTATTCAGCCTCACAAATCAGCGAGTTTATATCAGACATGCAACATGAATATCAAATAAAAATAAGGTATATCTAGTTTTTTTTAGAATAACAAGTAGTTACATAAGTCAGATAATAGTCCAGTAAAACTATTTAATTTTATTTTACAGGTATCTACAAGAATTTACTGCTTTAGGAACTGCTGGTGGAATGTATCATTTTCGAGATTTAATTCGGGGAGGATCTCCAGAAGCTTTCTTTATTTTAAATGGTGATGTTTGTGCTGATTTTCCATTACAGAAATTACTTGAATTTCATAAGAAACAAAATAATGCATTAGCAACAATTATGGGAACTGAAGCTACCAAAGAGCAAGCAATTAATTACGGCTGTCTTGTAATGGATAAAGTAAGTAATGATACTTTGATAATTATATTATATTATATATGTATATATATATATATATATATATATATATATATATATATATTGATTGTTTCTTTTCCGAACAGTAAATCCAATAATAAAAAACAATTTGTTTTTTGAAGATGTTTAATACGACGTTTTGGAACTAGGTACGTTCCATCATCAGGTTTTTTCTGTCAAATACAATGCTTTTTTAAAAATATTGATTAACATTAATTAACGATGGTCAATACAGATTAATTAGAAAAAAAATTTATAAAGGAATGGATTATGTACCGGGGTAAAGAGTAATAAGAATTAACTAAAAAAGGTTTTATATAAAATTGAGAAGCAAAAATTATTTACCTGTAATAATTTATATATCCATATCACTAATATTTTTTTGTTAAAAACACTCGATTTTTTTGGAAGATATTTGTAGATGTTACGACTACACAAGACTTAAACACACTGATATGGATTTCTGTCTGCCAGATGTAAAGGACAATGTACGGAATTCTTGGCAAAAATGATTTTTTATGGCTCTTGTTTGGTAATTTACGAAAAAAGAGGAAATATTGCTTTAGTAAATGTTGAGAAATATTATGTATATATATATATACATGCACATGTATATGCACACCCACATACTCATACATACATATGCACATATCTATATATTAATGTATCCATAATTATATACATGAGCATATATGCAAGTGCATGTATATAGTGTACACACAAAAACATACATATAAGTACATATATGGATGTACATATATTATAACATATATACATGTAACATTATAACATATATACATATTCAAAAATTATTAGGATTAATTGTTTTTAATCAGGTTTAAAAAATTTAGATATGAGTCATGAATGATATTGTGATCTGATCTTTTATTAACACTATTTGACGAATTCAAAAAGATTAAACTGCTTTCAGAAAAAAGTCTTTTAAAAGTACAATCCTCTCTATATAAAATATTGGGTTCAAAGGTGAAATTATGTGTATTGACCATCGTTAATTAATGTTAATCAATATTTTTAAAAAAACGTTGTATTTGACAGAATAAACCTGATGATGGAACGTACCTAGTTCCGAAACGTCGTATTAAACATCTTCAAAAAACAAATTGTTTTTTATTATTGGATTTACTGTTCGGAAAAGAAACAATCAATATATTGAAAAAATCCAGGACTTATCTATTGAATATATATATATATATATATATATATATATATATATATATATATATAATATATATATATATATATATATATATATATATATACATATATATATATAAATATATTTTTTAATATATGAGGTTTTGGATTTGTTGTAGTTCTTTTTAATACGAATGGATTCAAATTCAGAGAAGCTCTCCAGGATCTCGGTTTCAACAGAATACGATAACCAAGAATAGATTTTATCAATAGCACGTCTCAGGTTATTGGTGTGACAAATGCAAATTTTTGATTTCTAATGAGAGAATATGTAAACTAAGTTTAGAAAACTTGTTGTTAAGAGAATTGTTCAGATGAGAAAATTTTGTAAAATTTAGGCGATAAAAATTAGGTATGATACCTTCTTTCCTGCATCTGATAAGAAAGATCTGTTTATTGATATTGGTAGAAAGCTTGAAGTTTAGTTTAGTTAATACCTTAAATTCTGAAAGGATGTAAGAACCATAATGTTTATTGATGAAATTATAAAAAGAAGGATTAGGGAGGATGTCATTGGTGATACAATTCTCTTGTATAAAATTTTTTTTATTATTACAAGTAGCCTGTGTGGGTTTAATGCTCGTTAAAGGAAAAGAGTAGCTAAAAAAATTGAAAGAAAGTGAACAATTGGTGACAGAATAACAAGCAGGCGGTATGAATGTTAGAGCGTACAAAGTAGAACAATCTTAAGTTAAAACTAACAATAACTGTGAAAATACAAACAATTGATAAAAATAAAGAATGAAAGAATGGCCTAACTTAAAAATAAATAAAAACAAAAACTTAAATATAAAAACGCGGCTGTACAGTAACCAAAATTAGGATGCTAAATATTACATAAGAAACAATAACGATGAATTAATATATGAGTATAAATGAGATAAGGGTCTTGATTTGATAAGTAGTTGCGTCTTGAGAAGATGAGAAGGGGTCTTGTTGTGAATGAGTAATTCCCGTTAACAGAGAAAACGTGTAGAAAAATCCTATTTCCAGAAGAACCATAATGTTTATTGATGAAATTATAAAAAGAAGGATTAGGGAGGATGTCATTGGTGATACAATTCTCTTGTATAAATTTTTTTTTATTATTACAAGTAGCCTGTGTGGGTTTAATGCTCGTTAAAGGAAAAGAGTAGCTAAAAAAATTGAAAGAAAGTAAACAATTGGTGACAGAATAACAAGCAGGTGGTATGAATGTTAGAGCGTACAAAGTAGAACAATCTTAAGTTAAAACTAACAATAACTGTGAAAATACAAACAATTGATAAAAATAAAGAATGAAAGAATGGCCTAACTTAAAAATAAATAAAAACAAAAACTTAAATATAAAAACGCGGCTGTACAGTAGCCAAAATTAGGATGCTAAATATTACATAAGAAACAATAACGATGAATTAATATATGAGTATAAATGAGATAAGGGTCTTGATTTGATAAGTAGTTGCGTCTTGAGAAGATGAGAAGGGGTCTTGTTGTGAATGAGTAATTCCCGTTAACAGAGAAAACGTGTAGAAAAATCCTATTTCCAGAAGAACCATAATGTTTATTGATGAAATTATAAAAAGAAGGATTAGGGAGGATGTCATTGGTGATACAATTCTCTTGTATAAATTTTTTTTATTATTACAAGTAGCCTGTGTGGGTTTAATGCTCGTTAAAGGAAAAGAGTAGCTAAAAAAATTGAAAGAAAGTAAACAATTGGTGACAGAATAACAAGCAGGTGGTATGAATGTTAGAGCGTATCGCCCTCAAGAACTCACTCATATATTTCAACATCAAAATTAACTACTAAATCATATATATATATATATATATATATATATATATATATATAAATATATATAAATATAAATATATACCAGTGAAAGATGAATACATTTACGGAGCACCGCAAAGGACAGGATGTGACTTCAGTTTAGAATCATTTTTTGATTGAAAAAGACGAACATAGAAAAATATATATTTTTTTACTGACACGTTTTTTGTTTCTATCTACTTCTACTCCTTACGTAATAAATAAATAATATGTACTCATTTTAGGACAATATTTGTTAGATTTCATATATTATTTGTTAATATGTCAATGTAATAACTGAAGTAAGTAAAAATATAACTATTTAATTTTTCATCGACAATACCGGTATTAAAACCGGGATCCCGGAATTTCATTTTTCAAATATCGAATACCGGTATTCAGATTTTTGTACGGTATTGGAAGCCCTAATGGTAATGAATATAATATTTTTGAGAATGTAATTAAAAACTAGCAGAATCATGTTATTAGCATAGTTTTAGTAAATATTAACATAATATAAAATAAATAATTATGCATTTTCTTAACATATATAAATAAGCATAATTGTATAAGAGTATTAACAGTCAAAAAGATATATGATAATATAAATAAATATGCATTTTCATAACATTGAATGTATAAGAGTATAAAGAGTCATAAGGTTATATTAATTGATATAAAATTAGAAATGGTAAAACTTTAGAAAAATAATATTCTTGTAGGATTCATTTTTAACTTTCCGACATCTCATTTTCAATGTCAATGTCTTCTTGGTGTTCCGCTTCATCTTTATTTTGGAATTCATACATCTTCTGATTAAACTTACTTAAGTGATCGCTTTTCACACTAAATTCATAACAATTTTCAATTTCTGACTTTGTGTGTAAAGTGCCTTTAAGAGTCGTAGTTGATAACTTATTTCTTAGCTTTGTTTTCATTATATTTATGCTTGAAAACAAGCGTTCCACCGTTGCGGTACTGTGCGGCAAACACAGAAGTTTTCTTGTTAAAATTGATAATAATGGAAACGTCTCTGATCCATCGCCTTGTTTTAATTTTGATACATGTCTCCAAAATTGGTCCTTACTGGGCGTCTCAGTCTCATCAAAATCAAAATTCGTATTTCTAAGAGTCCTCCATTCTCTATCTACTTCTGTTATATTATTTGGGCAAATATTTGGAAAATAATATAACATTTCCGAAATTGATGTAAAGTTTTGTCTCAAATCAGTATTTAAAATCACTTGTGGATTTAACATCTGCAAACATTTTAGTGCTTGCCGTTCTTTATCGTGGAAAGGAAATCTCTGCTTTATTTGGATTGCTGCCTCAATATAAAACTCCTTACATTTTGTGTAAAAATTCAGCAATCGATCATTGTCCAATCCTTCAGACTCCCTTTTCACCCGAATTATATTTGGAATCATTCCTCCAACATAAATTTCTAATAAAGGTAAATGAATTCGCAAATCGTTTATATCCACATTCAATACTTTTTGTTGTTTGGCATTTGTAATATTTTTTACCATATTCAATTCTTCTTTTGAACATTCCAAATATTTCGGTTGAATAAAGCATTCTAAAATTGTCGCATATGCTGTAAATATCTGATCACATAAAATGTACAATTTTGGCTTTTTTGCCTGCATTTCTTTATTCAAATTCACGAATATTGGCAGCGAAAATCGCAGGAATTCCAAATATAATTCTGTTGTCGGTTCCATGGCTTTTGTCAATATACTTTGTGCAGAAAGAAGACGATCCGTAAAGAGACAGCAGATTGAAAATATAATTTTATCGCTGGAAGTTGTTCCAACAATCGCTTCACAACATCGTTTAACGATAACCATGTGGTTTGTGCAGGGTGTAATATTTTATGCGGTTTAATATTTGTAAATGCCTGAAAAGTTTTAAAATCACCAATACGTTTAGGAGAATTTTGAATATGGTTGAAAACTTCACGGCAAAAATCTTCAAGACCTCTCGATAATTTTTCACATGCGTGGGATGCACAAAGCGCAAATGAATGGCATATACACTTCATTGTGAAAAGATTTGGAATATCATTCTTCAAATAAGTGACCAATGAGTTATTCGCCCCAAACATGAAATTAGCACCATCAGACGCAAATCCTAATAAATTTTTTTTATATGGAATTTCTTTCTCCTCAAAATATTCAACAATTTTTGTATGCAAAGCTTTTGCTGATCCGTCGGTGATTGCAATCAAAGTTAGAAATTTATCTTCTACTTCATAATTTGCATTGACTATCCTGGTTATTAAAGCCAAATGCTTGATGGCCGACTTATCAGTGCTCTCATCAACCAGCAATGCAAATTCATTTTCTCTTAATTTTTCTTCAGAGGTTTTTTCTGTCACATTTACTATGACAGATCTTGCTTTTGTTCGGCTCATAGACAAATGTTCTGCAATTTTTGAATCCGGACACACCGATTTTACTAAATTTGTCAGATGTGAGGCAACATTAAATCCAAGATTGTGTTCTGCAATAAAACATGCTAATTTAATTTCGCCGGTTTTTGCCATTTGCTTTGGTTCCATTGATTTTGATGATGATGCAAAGACGTAAAGACGTAAGCTTCGGTTGCTTTTGTATTTTTTTACTGTTTTCTAGATGTTTTGATGAATTTTTGTGTCGCGTTAATTCTTGAATTCCGCATTTACGATCACAGTCATGCAGAGCAGTGAAAATATGTATTCCCTTTTTTACTTTTTGTAAGCCATCCACTAAAGTTTTTGTCAGTGAGCCAAGAGTCAATAAATTTTTGCTCGTATCTCACTACTTTCCTCTTCCTTGCGGGGGATTTGTCAACATCTGACACATTATCACTACTAGAACTATGCATTTTCTTAACTATTTGAACTCACACTATTAACTTATTCAACTTATAACAAAATTAAACTTATTCAACTTATAACAAAGTTTAACTTTTTAACTTATAACAACATTCAACTTATTTAACTTATACCGAAACACTAGTAACACTCTGCGTAATATATATAAAAATACAATATATAAATTTCAAAATGTAGATAAAAAAGACAAATCATTAAACACTTCCAAACTGATTTTGCTTCATATATCTCCAAACTTATACTGTCGCTGTTCGCCAAAGTTAATGTTTATGTTTTATGCGATAAAAGGCTTACGATGGCCCGTTGTTGGGATATGTTTAGTTTAGATATGATAAGTGCAGATCAATTAATAATTGTATATATAATAAATCAATCTTTAACGACTTTTGAGATGAGAAATAAACATGTGAAAACCGCCTTTCTGAATATCCATCAAGGGGCATGTTATTGTTATATGTTTGTGTTATTTTTGATAGGATTACTTTGGAGTGTTTTATCTCTAATTAGGCAAGAATCCATCTATTTTG